GGTGGTGGTGGTGGTGGTGACGAGCCACAGCCGGTGTACCAGGCCCCCTCGGACTCGAGCTACGGGTCTGCATCCGTGTCCCATCAGCAGCAAGAGTCGTCCTTCGAGCTGCCCAGCTACGCGTATGAGCCGGTCCAGGCCCCAGCCCCGAGGCCCGGGGCTCCGATCCACGGCCCAGAAATCAGCCCGGTCTACGTGGACTCGGCCTCGACCTCATCATCTGCCTACGGGTTGCCTAAGCCCACTTATGGCCCGGCTCAGCCAGACACCAACGACTACTCTGGCTCTGCATATCTGGCTCCAGCCCCGGCCCCGGCCCCGGCCCAAATCCCATCAGTCCAGGCGGCAGCCCATCAGCCAACCCAGGCCCCACACGTCATCTACGTTGGCCACCCACCGATCCACATCTACCATGAGCCCGAAATCATCCCACCTCAGCAGCAGCAGCAGCAGCAGTATCAGCCTGTCCAGACCTCCTCATACAGCGCACCCGTCAGCAGTCCGTCCTACGGCGCCCCGCAACCCCAACAAACCTACGGTGCCCCGGTAGAGCAGTCTTACGGACCCCCGCCAAAGCCATCTTACGGACCACCACCACCAAAGGCCTCGTACGGTGCCCCTAAAAAGGCCAAGGCAGTCAAGTCATCCTATGGACCCCCAAAGGCCTCCTATGGACCACCACCAGAGCAGTCCTACGGACCTCCGAAGGCCTCGTACGGACCGCCAGAACCATCGTATGGACCCCCAGAGCCGTCTTATGGACCTCCTCCGAAGGCCTCGTACGGACCGCCGCAACAGTCATACGGCCCACCTCCGAAGGCCAAGGCCAGCAAAGCCAAACCCAAACCCAAGCCAAAGGCATCCTACGGTCCTCCGAAGGCTTCCTACGGCCCGCCACCCAAGAAAGCCGCTCCGAAGGCATCTTACGGCCCGCCGAAAAAGGCCCCCAAGCCATCCTACGGTCCTCCCCCGAAGAAGGCAGCCCCCAAGCCGTCCTACGGGCCACCCAAGGCCTCCTACGGACCCCCGAAGGCTTCCTACGGCCCGCCCAAGTCCTCATACGGACCCCCGCACCAACAGCAGAAGCCCAAGAGGAAGGGCAAGAAAAAGGGCCACTCGGTCAAGTCGTCCAAGGGCCCGACTTACCTCCCAGCTCCCAAGGCGCACAACAAGCCGCCCATCATCATCTACCAGGGCATCAAACCCCCAGTCCATGTTTACGAAGCCCCCGAGATGGCGCACCATCACCAGCAGTCCTCCTCCTCCTCCTCCTACAACGACAACCACGCGCCCTCCTCGTCTTCACACCTCGCCGTGCAGCAGCCCAGCAACTCCTACTCAGCCTCTTCTTTTGACCAGCACAGCCACCACCATGAGCAGCAGCAACAACAGCAACAGCACCACCACCAGCAGCACCACCACCACCAACAACAACAACAACAACAACAACAACAACAACAACAACAACAGCACCACCACCACCAGGCTCCGGTCTCTTCAGGCTACGATGGGTCCTCTTTTGGAGAGTAAGCCTTAACCCAGTTTTTCTCCTCTTGAAAAAATAAAAAATAAAAGTCTTGTTCTGTAAAAAGAAAGAAAGAATAAGAAACAAAGAAAAACTGCGAAGTGAAAATTATGTCAAGTGATTACGCAATGTATTGTAAATCAAGACTGGAATGGATATGTAATAAGTGCAGGCTTATAGTCTTTCGTCAGCACGCTAAGATACTGCGCAGACGAGGATTGGAAACTAAGAATAAAAATAATGAGGTTATTCTTTACCGCAGTTTGGACAGCCTGATCGACAGCATCAGCAACGGCGGTGCTGGCTCGGACTTGGCGTCGACGACCTATGACCTGAACTCCATCGGGGCCACTGGAGGGCATCAGCAGGCGACAGGCGGTGGCTACAATCGCAGGTGAAGAGACCCGCCGCTCATCTCGGCGTGTTATTATTAATGATTAATTAGGAGGATTGTGATCAAGTGCTGAAGATATAAAAAGTAGAGTACTGTACAGCACTGCATACTGTATACGAAAAATTCTCAATGGCGTTCTTTTCTCGTCCTATGCTGTCCTGTATGTATATAGGAGCTCGGAAGCCGTGCAGTCGGACAACATGTGGATCCCGATCGGGAAGTCGTCCCATGCAGTGCGGCCCCTCAGCGGCTACAACATGGTGGCGCCGGACCTCGGGTCCTCTGGTGCTGGGTTCAACGCGGCCGCGGGCACGGCCCCCTTGGGCAGGGGCAGACGCCAGGAACAAGCCCAGCAGCAGGAGCGACTGCTGGAGCCGTTCGTGGCCGTCGTGGTGAGTGCCGAGGGCAGCAGCGGCGGGGCTGATGATGAGGACGCGGGCCAGCCGTACGCCGTCTACAGCTCGGCCGACTTGACCGACAACATCGCCCGAGACCGACTGGACACGTTCGAGCAGGACCCGAACATGGTGGCCCGCATCGAGTCCGTGGACCACTCGCCGGTGTACCAGCCGTCCTTTGTCTCTTTGCCGGACGACGAGTCCCATCACGCCGACACCGACAGCCACAGCCCCGACATGGTCGTCAAGAAAGTCAGCGCAGTCATGTCCTTCTCCAGCAGCGACGACGACGTGCCTGCTGCTGCCGTGAAGGCGGCGGCAGTCGAGTAATGGACTGCGGCTGCTCGTGTTTGTCATTCACTTCCTCATATTTCCGTTACCCTCACTGACGATGCCCATCACGTAAAGCAGCAGTTCAGTAAGACCCGCGGGGAACGAACAGCACCACATCATGCAATGCGCAAAATGTCCCCAGCACTGGATTCCACCTGGTTCAGCCAGCCTCAATCCCTCATGTTCACACCACGCTTCTGCCCTTCATTCTCACCTACATATATTGTATTGCACATGCAGTACCTGCAGTGCTTTTCACGCAGCATGGCTCAGGGAAGCAAGCAAACAAACACCCACATACAGTATACCATTCCCATATAGTGTTGTAAGAGTGTATTGCACCTGTATCCTGGCCGATATATAATATCCGCGGAAGGCATTATAAATTATTACTCTTTCGCCTGGATGGAGTTTTAGCCAACGACGAAACACTAATTTTGAAAGGAAAAGGGAAAGAGCGGGAAAGGGAAAGGAAGAGGAACGGGGGTGCTGGCTTTGATGTTCCACGGTTTCACGAAAACTTTCCAAAGTTTCTCCTTGTTCGCCGCCTGGAATTCTTTTTCATTGGAACGCGGCCGGATGATGATGATGATGATGGTGATTTGTTGCTTCAGTATATGAAACCACATAGTACAGTATTCGTTTGTTTACGCACTTGGTTTTGTTGCTTGTTATCCAAGTATAGCAAAGTATACCGTAAGGTACAGTATTTTTTTTTTTTCACGATTCACCAAAAAAGAAAACAAAACACCTCAAAGTATTAACAGCTTTGCCTTTTTGTTTTCGTTTCGTTTTGAATTTTTGTTTTAGTTTTCTTTTGTTCGTTATTATTATTATTATTATTATTTTCTTTTGAAGCGGCGAGACTGTGTCAGTATTTGTGAAAAGCCCTGTGCTGGCCAATGTGGAAATAAACTCCACGTTGATGTTTGTAACCTGCTTTGGAATCCTTATATTCCGTCTCACGCTTCCCGGCCCCTCACTGATGCCTTATTATAGAGCCAGACAGCAGGAATTGAAAACCTGCCTCCGGCTTTACCCACGCTTTCCACGAAAAAAAAAAAAAACAGCTAATAGGCAGGGAATGTGCTGAGCGAATTGAGGTACGAATGTTTAATCTTCGAGTGCCATTTTGGGGGCGGATTCGGTTGGGATCACTTCAATGGACCGGACGTGCAGGGCAGCAGGACATGGTCGAAAGGCTGGAGAGAATGAGAGGATATAAAAGATCACACTAGAGTACAGCATACAGTACTGTTAGTGTACCGTCTGTGTAGATGACTAAGAGACGATGAGGCACAGACCCGCATTTCCTACACATTATTTCGCCCGTTTAACGCGATTGCGGGTGCAGAATAGAATAAAAGCACACAATGAAGGAACCGAGACCTGCATGACCTTTGCCCACAGGACTCGACTGCAGTGATGTACGTACACGTATATGCCTCGTGAAGCACAGCATTGCGCGATCATTTTAGCAATTCACGCCACTATACCAGCAGCTATATTCAAGGTTCTTGTCCTGCATTCTCAACAGCGCAGTGTGTTCATTGTTACTCAATTATTCCGCCATCAGGAAGAACTATGGATACATACCATTCTTCCAATAATTCTTGAACCCAAAAAAGAAGATTATCTCGGTTCCTTCATTTCATAGATTGCAAGTTGGAAAAAAAGAAGAAAAAACAGTCAGTTCTAACACTAAATAACAATTTGGACGAATCAAGGAAATGAAAATGAACATGAAGTGCTGCTCCTCAGACGGCTGAGAACCAACTCACTCTTTAAAAAAAAAAAGAAGTACTGTAATAATGACGATGCCATTGACTATACAAATCATCAACAAAAGGGAACAAATGCGGGGTTTAGATTACTGCACGATGACAGGGGAAAACCATGTGCCCAGCATGCACTTATACACCTTATTTCTGGAACAGAGTGCATATGCGAAGGCCTCATTTTTGTTTCGAACAAGCTCCACAGACCAACAGGCGGAGTGCTTGTGCATTATTTGCGCGCGCGTCGACCGTCGTCGTCGTCGTCGTCGTCTGCGGCGGCGGGAGAGTGAGTCGTCATCGTGACGACGAGAGCTAGGTGAGGTGAGGTGTCGACGCGCGACGCCGCTGATGTCAGAGTTTGCCCGTCGCGAGGCCGAGAGGAATCCTCGGCAGTAAATTTGTCTCCGATCATCCCGGGCCCTCGATACAGTACTGTATACAGTAATAGAGTCGAGTTCGGGTGCTGTTGGCTACACATTTATACAGATCAGCACATTTACGTTCGCGAGGACGTGCTGCGGCAGTGCAGACAAAACAGTACTGTCCAGTACAGCATTGTGATGAGCGGCGGGATGAACAGCAGTTATCACGCGGGTTCGGCCACGGCGTCCTATGACGTGAATGACGTCGACGTCGACGCTGGGTTCGGCAACTACTCCTACTCCGAGAACCGGTTCGTGCTGCCCCTGTGGAAGGAGGCCGTGTGGTCGTGTTTGTTCGGCGGCATGGTCTTCGTGTCCACGGCCGGGAACGTGGTCGTCGTGTGGATCATCACGGCGCACAAGCGGATGCGGACCGTCACCAACTACCTGATTGCCAACCTCAGCGTGGCCGACGTCGTCGTGTCCACGCTCAACGTCGTCTTCAACTTCATCTACATGCTGTCGAGCACGTGGCCCTTCGGCGCCACCTACTGCAAGATCAGCAGCTTCATCGGCGTCCTCAGCGTGTCGGCCAGCGTCCTGAGCCTCGTCTGCATCTCCCTGGACAGGCGAGTAGTAGTTCTTCTTCTTCTTCTTCATCATCATCATCATCATCATCATCATCTCCTCTGCACATACAGTATATGCGATACATTCACTATAAAGTACAGTATTGTACAGACGACAGTATTCCGCATCCTATATATATAGCTGCTGATGGCTCTCCATATCGTACAGTATTTTCCCGTTTCATCGTCTGCACAGCAACTAATAAATAACCCGATCAAGTCCATCAGCAGCCAGCAGGTGATGGAAGACATTAATTAACTGCATTTTCTCTCTTCTTTTTCCATTCTCACAACCAACCAACCAACCCCCCACCCACTACTTTAACTGTATACAATGCTATGTATACGCATCAGCCGCGCGCGTGTTACAATGTACTGTATTGTACTGTATTCTATTTTAAAGTTTGTGTCGATTTATGTACACGCACATTTACGTACACCATATCCATCAAGCTATATATTCAAGCACCATCGCATAAAAAAAAGGGAGGGGGGGGGTTGTCGCGGTTTTTTTGGACTCTTTTGTTGAAGGATAGTTTAATGTTTAATGTGCTGCTGTGTGCAGTACAGTACGTGATGATGGACTTATTGGGGTTGTGATTCAGCAAGTCAACCAACACACCAACCCCTCCCCCCCACAAGTACCTGCTGGTGTAGCGGAGGAGTTGACTCCTATGATCACATCCCTATCCCGTGTGAGACACACAACTATATAGAGACACATCAGCCCCAAATCTAACCCGAGGGTTAATCACACTCGTCGTACTGATGACTCCCACTAACAACTCATGATCGAGATGATGGGGACACACACACACACACGAGAGAGAGAAAAAGAGGCAGAGAGACCGCTTTTCCTATACTCCTCCACTTATATTTCTTCCATATTTTCTCTTTCGTATTGCACCCAGTATGTGGCTACGTCTCGTTCTCTCAAGTTAAACCTTGGGAATTTCGACTGCTGTACGTACGCGAATCCCGTCTTTTGCCGTCAACGAAATTATTCATGCGTGCGAAATACGCTTAGATGATGCGAGAGAGAGTCGAAAAAATACGATTTCAAAAGATGAGGGGAAATGCAGAGAGAAAAAAAAGTAGCTCCAATGAGGCACAGCCCAACAAATTCCAGGAACACACACACACACACGAGGAACAGTGTTGACGATGATGCAAACGTCTGCGTTGGTTGAGAATACTGTAGTGTATGTAGAATCAAATACTGTACAACTGTTGTTGATTGATTGGTATCCTGGGATTGAAAAAAAAAAAAACGTGCCACGTGTTGAAAGCGGTGCTTTTCAACAGAAAAATGCCGAAAACCCTTGGCCAAGTACACTGTATACGAGGAGTCTAACAAATGTTCTCGGAATACAAATTGAAACGGCATACGATTGGGTTGAAAAACAATTATTGTTCAGAAAAAGCATTCTTCGTCACACAAAAAAAAAAATGCAACCCTGTTTGACAAATCTTTCAGAATAGTTTCCCAAAAGTCACCCCGGCAGCTTCCTGCTCTTGCACTCAAAAAATGAGTAGCCCATCTCGCACATTTTTTCGTGTACCCAGCTTTCCGTTAACGATTCTTGAAATTGACGTAGCATTAATTCCGAAAATAGCCGCCGATAATCGATTAATTCCGACTTGGGATGAGATTGCGGCGGTTGAGAAGGCGGAAAATTGTGGAATTACCTTGGATGATCTGGAGGGAATCCTTGGGGGAGTGAATTCCACATCGATTTCAATGATTCTGAAAAAGAAACTGGGCTGCATGAAAAAAAAGCGAGATATACGTCTCATCTTTTGAGTGAAGAGTAGAAAGCTAAGCTGCCATAGGGCGGCTTTTTCAAAAAAAAAAAAAAACTTCAGAAAATATGTCAAGCCTTACTGTTTTGTTCCATGCGCCAAAGAATGTTGTTTTATGAATGATGATAGTCTTTCAGCTCACTCACGTGCCATATCAGTTTTCGATCTCGAGAACTTTTGTTAGACACCACTTTTATTAGCCAATTTTCCGGACTTCTGTATGATCTGCTTTCAAAAACGGAAAAGCGAAGAGAGGTGTGCGCGAGGAGGGTTCACCGTGGAAAAAGGCTCTCTCAAAAGAGAGATCCGCGATACTTATTTTATTTTTTTCGTGAAATTTAAATGTATTTATTCTTCTCCTAATTTCGGTTGACGGTCACAGCGGCTACAGTATTTGGAGGGTGTTGCTTGTGATATACCTGTAACTCTAATTCAGGAGAAACATCTTTGGGATTCGCGTCTGCTGAGGGAAAAAACTGATCCTGCATGTGTATACAACATACTGTATACCGTAGTTTCGTGCAGTGAAACAGTGCTCAGTCATGAATGGAAGGGAGGATGAGATGGGTCGACGCCGGATGTACGGGGGATCCCTTGGCGTGAAAGATTCATTTTCGGTCCGTCGTTTGAACTTTCGGAATGATGTTGGAAGGCCTTTCGTCGAGCTCGTCGGCAGCACATTCAAAGACGACTGACTCAACCGGACAAAATAGTACCGTTCCGAAAATGTAAACATCTCTGAATTGAATATAGAGTATTAATAGAACACGTTCGTTCCCTCGAGTGATGGGATGCGGGAATCCATAAATGAGGCCTGGGGGGAGGGGGGCAGTGGTCGGGTCCGGAATTCCAGACGAGTGGTCGAGTAGTTTGTCCGTATACAACCGGTATACACGGAGACCATCGTTATATTCATTCGCTTATCACGATTGTTGCTGGACGTGTGGAAATGGTCACCAAAGCTGCTCCAAGCAAGCATTTGAAACGACCATCTTACCTACGGGAAAGACGCTTGGAAGAGCGGTTGGTTAAACAGTACTGTAGTTGGTGATTGTATGGGTGTAGATTGCATACAGTAGTGTATATCAAATACATTCGAGCATCTATTCCTTGATTATGGGGTCGTCGTCATAACTCGGACTCGTTTTCGGTATTGTACTGTACATCTGTACTGTATATTCCGTTCGAGCACTCCGCTGAAGAACACGGCTGATGCTGATGTGGGCACCTCTAGCTGTTTCCTCTGATCCGAGTCGCGGAGCATTCTCGCTCTCATTTCATTAGCAGATGGGGAATCAAGGATCCCTCGCGCGCGGCGGAGATCCCGGGGATCCGACACTGTCGGGGTTCCTCAGACGCAAAAGGGCGGCGAATGCCTGATGGACTACAATACTACCACCACGGACCACCACCACCACCACCGCCGTCACCGTCGCCGCTACTCAACTCCGCAGCGAGGGGCTTTGCGTTCCTCGGTGGAGATTTACAATTCTTTCGAGGAGAGCCGGCCGTGGATTCCGAAGGGATCTATATATAGGGCCACTGTGCTGTACTTGGTGGATCCCTGTGCTTGCCGGCTTTCCTCTGGGAAGGATCCCGGGATGGGCAATCCTGCCGCTCTTTCAACTACGCACGCGGGGCAAACGAGAGGCATTTCCCACTGGAGCCCCTGAACTGCTTGCTGGCTTCGCCTTTTGTCCAATTTCAACACCAGCAGCGATGATGACGAGGAAAATGCGAGTGGAATCAAGCGACGAAAAGAGACGGCGGACGCTTTGCTCCAGTTATAGTGGCCTCAGGGAGAAAACAAAAAAAACGGGAAAATACCGCAGTGAAAACTCGATTAAAAAAAATTTGATTTGCATTACTATGCAATAGTCTACTGATACTAGTCTACTTAGGGCTTGGATTCAAGTTTTTGACATGCAACGAGTATACGAGTAAAACAAGAAACACTCTTTTATTGTTGGCCATATTTTGGGTCCCCTTAGCTCCTGGAAAGTGTGATCCATGACAAACTGGTCATTTTTGCAGAGACAGGATAATCAAGCCAAACCAGCAGCGTGACTTACAGCACAGCAAAGAAAAAGTACAGTGTTTGAAAAGCAGCATTATCAGCACACGCAGCGAAGATGGCAAAGTGAAGAATGAATGAATGAACAGAAAACTTTATTTGCCGCTTTTCAGTGTTCACAAGGTACCACACAGCGTTCACAAGGTACCACCAAAACTCCTGCATCCAAACCCCCTCCCCACCCAACCCAACTCCCCCAAAATACATTGGGGGAGTTAATAAGTGTATTGGAAACTCCTTGATAAGACCAGCAGTACTTTGTAAATACCGCAGGTACTGTGTTCTATAGAGCAATACAATGTAAATATAATCGGATACTGCAAAAATTTGGAACCCTGCATAGGGGTCCCCTGGATTAAAGAGAACGCGAGGATCTCGGCCCAATAAAGCGTTGAATGTAAAAGTCGACCATATCAGCCATAAAGTGTAAATACAGTGAGACCCCCAATGTGCGGACACCTTGACCTGTGGACAATTCAACATAGGGACACTTTTTTTCCCAGAAAAAATTAATAAAAAGGGCTCAACATGAAGATGCCGACTTGACATAGGGACATTTTCTTATAAAATTGCAAAAAGATTTCAGGCAAAATTACAAGAAACAGATATTTCCAACCCTAACGTTGATGTAAGATACCATCCATTTAGCTAATTAAAAAATTACCTCCAGCAGAGAGGAACTTCCTTCTCTCTTTTTCACTTGAATATTATTTGTACAGCCAACATTTCTATGTACTGTACAGAGGTATCAGTATTCTATTCCCCAAATGCCCATATTGTGTTGAAATATATTTATTGGAATCAGTTTAAATTGGGAGACAATTGTTATTTTCATGGAATTATGGTGAGTATTTTGTTCAGAAAACACCAATTAAAAATTATATAATGTAAGTATAAGGGAAAATGAGACTTGACTCAGGGACATTTCAACTTAGGGACACTCTTGATGCACCAATTACGTCCGCATCTCGGGGTGGTCTCACTGTATATACTGCCTTGTACTGTGTAGAGTCGTTCGTCCGCGTATATTTTTTCAAGAGCATACATAATTCGAGCTGCGCAGTGGAGCAGAGAGTATAGACGACGGGAAAACCGAATGAGGAGTCAACCGGCATCTGGAATCTTGAAGACGCTCACGTACAGGCAATATTGACAGAGTGCGGGCTTTTCCCGCTGCATATCATCAAAGAACGACCTTATCAACCAGGCCTGGTTCCTGAGGTCTTTTTCCTTGGAGCACAAGAAGAAGAAAAAAAAATAGCCGGAAGAGTTTCAAACCTCTCGGAATTGAGGGGGTAACGAAGCATATATGCAGGGTAAAAAATACATACTAGTATGTATGTGACGCGTCGATGAGAGGAGTTTCCCGAGTTCTCGCGCACCCGTGTATGTAGAGAATCCATTTTACTTCTTTTTTTTTTTTGCGTTCCAGTTTCCACAGAATTCCCGTCGATCATTTTTTTGTGTGTGTCACCCCCTTGCTCAAGTTTCCGACGATGAGAGGGTTCGTCTCTCTATAGACGACATAAGACACGTCACGGGAAGTGCAATGAGAAGGGCAATATTTCCCCGGCAGCAGTCACCTTTGATTCGAACTGTCCTCCATATACAGTACACGAAATGAAGGCATGACAAAAACGCCTCTTACACACGTATTCGTTTGCAGTGCGGTGCTGCTTGCTGATGCCCACCGCCCTTGCTGTAGTTAGTGCCACTTGAGCCGAGGTAAAGTATGCGTGTCGATCGAGACATAAGACAGTTTGTGATGATGGTGATGGGGAACTTGTCCATGTGAAAAAAAGTAAAAACTGACTCTCACCATACGTTCGTATGCTGCAGGCATCGACATGACATGCATACTAGCTGCAGTATTTAGAGAAAGAATAAGGAACTCGAGTCAAGTAGATAACATTGGATTCAAGTACGGTGTGCGCAGTATTTACGGTATTCATTATTATTATTTTCATTGCCCGACGACCGCGAATATGTTCGGTGTGATCGACACACGTGCCGCGACGAGGCGAATTGTAACGACAGAGTACAAGGAGGCGTCATATATACGTGCTCTTCCGTCGGTCGTATCGTGCGCCTTGTCACGGAAAAGCCTCCGCATCCTGTAGTAGTAGAATTTCCTATTATTCACCCCGAGGGCGTCTCACATCCTGATGCGGCGACGACGGCGGCGGGTCATTCCATTAATCCTGATTGGAAGACGATTTCAATGGATCCGGAATGAACCACATCGCTCCTTTTGAGCCGTGTGTCTGACGCGGAACTCGGAAGCGAATATGACCTCCCATGCGTACGGGACACACGTATAATCGTGTAAATGCACGCGCTGATTCGCGGTTCTTGTCGCGGTGTGCACATTCAAGTATAACGTACAACAGAGTGTCATGATGTACTCGTCTCTCGATCATCGTCTGTATATATATATATATATACAGTACAGTACTGTGCTGTACAGACTCTCATATGATGACTGTGCGTCGTGCGTGAAATGATGCACCCTGACATATATACAGTATATGCGCAGGTACACGGCCATCATGTACCCGCTGAAGCCGCGACTCGGACACACGGCCATCGTGTGCCTCATCGTGCTCGTCTGGGGCCTGAGCGTCGGGTTCGCCTTCCCCATGCTCCTGTACTCGACGACGTACGTCCAGTACTTTGACAACGGGGACACGAGGACCGTGTGCTACCAGCAATGGCCGGACGGGGCCACGGCCGGCATCACCAGCGACGGCTACTCCATCAGCTTCTACGACCAAATGCGAGTATACACGATGTACTACAGCAGTATAACAGTACCAGCATTATTGTGCCGAGCATATTCACGTTTACACGGTCCCATCATCGTTGACAATAGAGCTCTTTTTTGCTTCCCTTTCCAAATGGAAACTCACACTCGATCGTCGACACTTTAACGCCAATGATGATGATGAGCTCCTCAAAAAAAGGAAGAAGAAAAAATCAACGGATACAATATACTGTACCGCAATGTACTGTAATCTATATATACAAGTCAAGACTAATTTTGGTGCAGAGAGTTGCTGGATTCATTGCCAAGGGTAGATAAACGAAGATAAGGCCGTGATAATAAGGTCACGCATCCAGTATGGATAAAGCATCAACTCATGCATTTGTATTGTACATCTTTTAACGTGCTTTGGCATTTTCCTCAAGGAATGTCTTCCTCTTTTATATGATGGCCCGAAAACGCGTGTTATTTCAACATTTGAAGCGTGGGAAACCCTTAGGGATGCTGAAGACAAGGGCAGCTTGGTCACACAGCAATGAATCAATCCCCTCCTCCCATTTTTTTTTTTCATTTGATGACAAGAAATCTGAGAAGAATAGGCGGGGCTTCCCTTTATTGTACCGTATTTTTAAATGAGAAGGCGCGTGGCCGCAGTCTATGAGTGCCGTGCCGCGTGTACTCTTGTGCTTTCTCACCCAAGTTGGTCAAGCAGGTCGACGTACCTGTAACGTATAGTAGTACGGTATTGTCTGCCAACCCGCTCGACACGCGAAAACGGGGTTGAAAAGTCGGACTTGGGTTATGTCCCAGAATGAATGACTTGCATGCGCAGTACTCAACCATGTCTCGTCCGTTGTTAAGCGCAGGTACTGCATCGCTCTGTTCTGCACCAACTACTTCGTGCCGGTCTTCATCATGGGCTACACGTACGTCAAGATCAGCATCGAGTTGTGGGGCAGTCAGCACATCGGGGAGTGGACTCAGCGGCAAGTGGATCTCATTCGCAGCAAGCGCAAGGTACGTCATGCTATGCCAGTACAGTACTGTATAGATATCATCATGTGCGGCACACCACGTTGCGCGTCATCAAACACGAGTCATGAGATTCCTTCATTATCCCCGCAAATATGTACAGTATATGCAGTACATTATGACGGGATGATACACTTGTTGCTGCTGAGGGAAGACCGCTCGCTTAAATGCATCCATGATATACTGTACTGTACTGTATGTGCACGCCTGGTGATGCTGACGCAGCGCCGGTGCAATTATACAACTGCATCACGACAAGATCGACGCGGGAATGCATGCAAAACATAAAAGCCATCGAGAGAGAAACCAACATTTGCCCGCAATTTCAGCGAATGTTTGCACGTGTCTGCATGTGCGCCTTGTATTTTCTCTCGAAATGCAATGCAGTTGGTTATATTGTACACGTACACGGCCAGCAGCAGCAGCAGCTTCCTGCCTGCCGTACATATATACCCTATAGCTGTGTATAAATAGGGATATTCTCCCGATGAAACCGACCAACCGAGGGTTACATTTACTCCGTATAGTGAGTGCAAGGCTCGGTTCTCGTCTCCTATATATTGCTTTTCCACAGGCAGTACAGTATTGCATACCTGCATATACAAGAGTGCTGGTCTCACACTGCGATGGTACGTATACGTGTATGCATCCCTTACTCGTCAGTACAACTTGCAAACGAGTTTCACACACGCTTGAATTTAACGTGTTTCTCACTCGGAGTTTTGCGCGTCGCGTCTTGGGGTTAATTCTTATTGTTATTCCTATAGACGACGACATGAAATGGAATGGAATAGAAAAGGACAAAGGGAATAAACGCCGGGTTATCCCCGATGCTGTTGGGAACACTCGTATATAGATGCAGTCATTTCCGAAACCGTGTCGCAAGATATCTGTCGCCTTTTTTTTTCTCTTCGTGAATCACTCGAATTGTTTTCCCATTTTCTTCTTCTGTTATTTTCTTTGAAGACACCCCCCATCGATTCTCCCGAAATCCCCCTCTTTCGAGAAGCCAGCAGCAGCTTCCGCTCCCGAAAAGAGTCGGGAATCTCTCCTTGAGTCGGATGAAGCACATCACGGCATTCCACTCTCGGCTCCGTGTATTCCCAATGAAAAAAAAAAAGAAAGAAGAAGAAGTCGATTCCCACCGCCGAAGCACGGTTGTTTGCTCCCAAACGAGTTTCCCGATCCGTTGATCCCACCTGTGATGTACGAGATGCGCGAAACTGCCCTAATATGCTTTACTGAACAGTAGTAGTTCTGTACAGTGCTGCTGTGCGAGTATCCTCAAGCCATAAATACAGTAAAAAAGAGAAGAAAAGCATGTATTGAGACACCCCGGACGGAACTCGGCTTTTTCCGAAAGGATTAAATCCCACGGCATGCAGGCGGAGGGAATACAGTATTTGCTTCACCAACTTGCCGTCGATCGCATGCAGAGTGCATCCAGCATCTGTGGGGCCGGTGCAGGAGTTGGTTCTCTCACATATATCCAGGAAATTGAGTTACCCGCTTTGTCGAGTTGAAACGCACGCGGCTGACGAGACGAAACCTGCCGCAGTTCGTGAGAAAACACGGAATTTCGTTTTAAAACAGCATTATGCATCATGGCAGATGCTGGAGTAGTTGTGTAGTGTCTGTCGCTGCTGCTGCTGCTGCTGCATGATGAAACCGGATCGGGCGTTGATTCGAATCAAAACTCATTGACGTCACATGCGTTTCTTTGTTCGTTTCCAACTCGAGGATCGATTTCCTTCTCCTTCCCTTTATTCTGCCGCCGCAGATTGTCAAGATGCTGATGCTGATCGTGGCCGCGTTTTCCGTTTGCTGGCTCCCGTACCACCTCTACTTCCTGGTCACGTCTTTCATGCCGCTCCTGTCCTACAAGCCCTTTGTGCAGGAAATGTTCCTCGCCGTCTACTGGCTCGCCATGTCCAATTCCATGTACAACCCCATCATCTACTGCTGGATGAACCAGAGGTATGCAGACTTTAGCATTACAGTATCATCCAAAAACTGGTCACTTTCGGATATATACGCAGTACTTGTAAACAGAGAGTGCAGAATATATAGTATGCAAGGCGGCTTGATCTTGCTTAAATCACTCAATAAGAGTCCAGAGGGAATCATTGCTGATGTGCACTGACTCATACATTACCGTGTACTGTATTGTAGATGTAAACTGACCAAGATGAAAAAGGTCTACATACAGTGTTGCTTTACATGCAGCTCCCTGCCCGTCAGCACACGTACAGTACCTTCCTTTATTCTCAGCTTCGCGACGGCGGCGAGGAGAGAAGGGGAAAGAAAAGAAATACGGTACTGTACTGTATATGCGAGGGGAAGATCACAAACGTCCCTGATGATCCCTAATAATGAAAGATGCACCAATATGGATGAAGAAGGGAAAAGATGACAAAACGAAAACAACCAATAAATATATACCTAGAGAGAGAGAGATGGATACAGTAACTCGCAAATGAACGACACACGATGCATTAAAAATAACACTGATGCAAGTGCGAAGAAATGTAATTGCACAGGGAGATTCCACGAATACCTCAAGAAATATGTAGTACCGTGATTTCCAAGATAATCCTGATGAAAAAAAAAAACGGAGAGAGAGAGCAGCGAAGAGGCCAGAAATGTGCCAATATACTGTTGCACTGTACTCGTATTTCCTAATGCAGCCACGAAGGTAGTATGTCAATTATGATCAGAAAAATACCCCTTAAATGATACAAATGCTTGTTGATGTCAAGATACAGTACTATAATAAATTCGTCGCAGTGCAATCACTCATTACTACAGTATCCGGTATTAATGTGATGTACGGTACTGCGCGTCGTATATTCATCACCTTTACGTGCTGGAACAGGGAATTTTTTCCAAAGCAAATTGAGCAGATTGTTGACGAAATGCAGGGATGCTGACTACTAGTCGAATTCCAACATTTTTAGAATCCACGCTCGCATCGTTTGTCGATGCTTTGCTTCGTAATTCCTCATTATTCACTATATAGACGGGCAAAAGCGGGCAAAAAGTACCGAGTAAAACTTTGAATTCTCTGGGCTGATGAGGACAGGGTATTAATCAAGCCTCGAGAATAATACAGTACCACCATTTCGACGAACACGGCTTTCAAGTACTGTACTGTGTAGAAGTAACAACAGTATTTTCAAGCAAGTCTCGGCCCGTTGGTTACCAGGTGGGAACATGGAGGGATCTCAATAGAAATACCGGTTTTATTTATTCCCCACTCGACGAATATTGATGCTGGCCTCGTGCAATACACTTTTACTATACAGTACTGTACACGGTACTGTACGAATTCAAGTATTAATCCTGCCTCACGGGAAATTTACACCATGGAATAAATAACCTGCTGCGACGAGTCTTCGTCCTGGCTCGTCTTTTTTTCCCCCCGTTTTGAAAATAGATGATTGTTGAAAGAGCTGGTGCAAGTCTTGGGCAATCAAACAAGAACAGGAAAAAGCACGCCTGTGACGAGACAGAAAAAAAGAAAAAAAAAAAAAGATTTGCCCTCGTAACCAGCAGCGATGCCCAATTGCCCCATTATATCTTCCAGAGATTCTCCCGACCCATCGGTTCCCCGTGCATGAACGACGAGCCGACGCGCACATGCGCCGGCCGAGAACCCGATTAGTGTCCCAGCACATCACGAGGAAATGGGATATATATATATATATATATACTGTATATATATAGAGTGCACACAGGTATACAGTACTGTACTCTAAAGTACAGTATACTGCATATATATAGGGATCATCAGGATGAACGAGTATATGGACTGCGCCCGAGGCGCACACGGGTCGGGTGACCGGGATGCAGGAAATGGGTCGAGAAACGAGCCTCGAGCCCCGTTTGCTCAACTGAATTGACCCGGCATCGATATAATGTAGTTGTAAGTGCCCTGTTGAGTCGTCGAGTCGAGCCTGGGTCGACTATACGGGAGCGGGTTGCTGGTTCCGGTCATCAACGAAGAAACCTGACCTCTCCACGCATCGGATGCGAACTCAACCGGATCCAATTCCCCCCCAACGTCCCGTTGTTGACGAGAATTGAAGGCGGCCTTTTCCCTCGGCGCAGCGAGGCCAGTACTGTATACTGTACACTTGTACACCAGTGCTGACCACGATTTAAGCGTTCCGTTTGAAACTCGGGAGATCCTCTTTATGGCTGTCCTGTCTCGATAGAATAGTCGCATTTCTTTGAAAGGTGTTGCACGTTCACATGCACATGTACAGTGCACCAGTTAATACTTATGCCCACCTCCAAATAATCCGCGCAATTGACTCTCGATAATCTTTCGGGGACGAAAATTCATCATGTAAATGAGTAAAACAGTGCTTTCCAGGTACGCGTGATGGGTTCAACAGCGAACAACAATAAAAAAAATCCATTTTGAGAGAATGAAGGGCGCAGATGCCATCTTTATTTGATACAAAAGATCGAAAAAAAAAACCAGCATCGTGCCCTGAAATAACTCCCTGTGCATTCATGAGGTACACAAGTTTTTTATTTTTATTTTTAATCGGCTCACTTTATCGGTCTGCAATAAGTGAAAATACCACGAAAGACACGAAAAGGCCACCAGTCAATTTTCAACAGGAGTTTTATTGATGATGTTCCCTGCACGTGGCCAATATATTGCTCATGATGCGATTTCCTTCCTTCCTTTTTCTTTTTTACTACAGTACTTATGTGCTGTATTTCTTTCTTTTTTTCACTGTGGCATTATCATCATCCCTCTCACTAGGATTTTCTCCCCCGGCGTTGTCTTTTTCATAGGTAAACCCCCTTCAGTAAGTTTGAGGACACGAGAGTCATCCTGCTGATTTGAAGAAAAAAAAACGGGGCATATAAAATGAACTCTGGCTTTCGGAAGTATAACGTCGACGAGGCGGCATAGACTCAAGAAACATGCGTCGTTCTCGCGTGATTAAATTAAAAGGCAAGGGTATTTCTAGTGCACGCGTGGATCTGGAAAGACGCATCTAATTCCGCAGAAGTTTCTCTCGACAGATGCAGGGAATAGGCAGATTTTTGAGAATCGTACTCCTTCATATCTATGTGGATCGGAATAATGCTCGCTGAATTTCTACTTTTCTATTGTTTTTGTTTTTGTTTTGCTCTTGCTGCATCCACGACTTGATGAACGAAAGAAAAGAAATGGGAATGTCGAACTCAGCCGGTGCTGATGCATGTCGCATCAGTATAGCAGGTGTTTCCTGCGCTTGAATACGTATATACCCACTTATTCGTGCGTAAAGATGGAGAAATAAGGTTTTTTTTCTGCCGGTCAGCGTGTGCCTGGGGCAATTGATGCGTAATACGAGCTGGTTATTTCCCGTCCCCTCTTCCAGCACAGAGATACTTTACACTTTCACCGTACTGCAGAGTACAAAATAGGATAAATTGAGGGTCATTTGGAATCGATGAGGGGTGAAATGGGGCGCATGCATGCATGCATGCATGAGAGGAATGAGGAGAGTTGCAGGGAAAAAGGGTGCATCAGTTGGTGGTACGTGGAGGGATGATGGGAGCAATAAGACGGACAAGGCCCGCAGCAAGTTTGGGTGGAAACGACGTACCGAGGAATTGAATTTGCAGAAATAAAGGAGGCACTTGGTTCTCTGATCCCCCCGCGTATGGTCCTGTACTGTACTCTAGCATATGCTGGTATCTGCATGGTCTCGGATGAACAAGAACAGGTGCAAGTCTATCCCAGCTGTCGCGAGCCGAGTGCTGGCGACAGCCATAGGAACCCCTTTTTCCCCTATCCCTTTGATGCTTCCCGCTCGCGTTCCTTTGTCCGGAAAGAGGAAATCCATCAAGACTTCATAAGCTTCATCGGCATCTTCGTTTTGGAGAGGCATATTCCTTCCTCCGCTTTTCATGCTGCGCTATTTTTGGGCGAATCGAGGGCATGCGCCGGAAAACGCCGTGTGACTGCTGCATCATGACGCAACTTTCCTTCATCCCAAAACAGTAATATTCTGGTACAGTCAAACCCCGTTAAGACTTCCCCTGATAAAGCGCCAACCTCAGCAACCGCCAAAAGTTCAAATGAAACAAATCTCCTCTATGTTAAATTCTATAGAAAACCTCGATAAGACGCCAACTGTCATTTGCCAGCATCAGTGATGAAACAAAAGTGCTGTTTCCAATTAGTTTTGTCCAACATTGGGGTAGAATTATAATTTCTGCCAAGAATCTTGTATTTGTAAGAAAAATGATAATAATGATCATTTTGTTGGAAATTATATTGGCCTAATCTCAAAATTTGAATAAATTTTGCAGCAAAATTTATTTTCTAAAAGAGTAATCCATTGATCACAGCGATACTCTTTGGAAAATTACTCAAGTTTCTGACATAATTAACCTGCATCTCCATGACTTTTGGAGGGAAATTGAGTACAGTATTTTCAATCAAATACTAAAAATTAAATATTCAATAAACCACCAACCTCTTTAAAACCCGCCAAAATTGCTCTGGACAAATGGTGGCGTCTTATCGGGGTTTGACTGCTGTACTGTACAGCATGCAGTATACGTCAAGCTTACACTGTATATATCCAGCAGTCAGTCACCGTGGCCTCTCTTTTTACTGACCATGTACACTTTTCTCATCAAAAACTTTTTTTTCTCTATCATTTCTTTGTCTCCTTTTCAGGGCCGCATTCGATCGTCAGCAGAGCGCGATTCTGATTCAATTATACCTGTTTGTTCAAATTGAGAGTCCTGCATGCGTTTCATGCGGGCGCCCTTTTAATTCCGTCATCATGCATGAGGATGAGATGACAAATGCTGCGGACAATATGACATGTTCAACTACTGTACTGTACACCAGCAAAACGTCCTGCTGGAGAAGAAGAGGAGGAAATTGTAGGTAGAGAAGAAGAAGAAGAAAAAAAAAAGAGAGACATGCTTGATGCTGACGCCTCATCATTTCCTGAGCAAGAAACGGGAATCACTTACCGTGATGATGATGATGGTGGTGGTGGTGGTGTTGGTGGTTGTGGAGGTGGTGGCGGCATCCGGACCTCGGCGGCTGCTGGCTCACGTCGACTTGAGATTGATGCGATTGGTATCTTCCTAAACGACGCACGCCGTTGACTTGGACCGTTAAATTCTGACGCCTTCCGGACGCCTCCGACGGCTCGTAAATTACCCCCGGGCACCAGCGGAACGCCCTTTTGAACCCCTGTCGGAACCTGTACAGTATATGGAAGGGATTGAGAGGCAGCAGCACATGCCTGAGTGCACTGCACGTATACTACAGCATCATCACCTTCATCATCCACACCTCTTATTCACCAAGTCCCGATTTCATTTCGCCACCCCTCCGGTGTCGAAGGAGAATTATTTCCTTCCTTCCGGACGACGACTGCCTAGCTCGTATTCACCCCCCGTCCGTTCCCAGAGGCAAGTAATTAACGGTTTTCAAGGTTGGACGTGTTGATGAGACTTTCCGAGAACTGCGACTATAGTTTCCCCGCGCGCAGATGGAAATCAGGAAAGATGGCCAGGGGAGAGAGAGAGAGAGAGAGA